GGTTAGGATTTAATTTTCCATCATTCGAAATGTAACTGAAGTCATTCATTAGCGAAAAATAACACACTGAGAGAAAACCATATAACACCGAATAAATATTTCATCTTGGAACTCTTCAATAGTGTCCAACAAAGACTCTACCGATGATCGAGTACAGAATGTTAAGATTGAGAATCAGACACGAAATTTTAGTATCTTTATTTCGTTGAATTTGTGACAGTGTAATTACTAACCGTTTTTAGTGAGTAACCATTACACACATGGTTGATTTGGTTAACTAAAATTATCAGTCGAGTAATTTATTTCCAAGCTACAGCCTCATTGATCAGCATATAACCAATGATGAACTGAATCGCTTCTCTGGAAATTTACAGTTTCTGAAATAATTCAAATATAGATTCGGTATCATCTAGTTCATAATGATTATCTATGACTAAAGCCCCATTTTATGATGAAAATGACCTTTAAGTCTATAAAATAAAAAACACATCTATTTATTGCGAATCTATTCGAATAAGAGGTTTTCGACGATATCAATTATAGTGATCAGGTTGAAAATCACTTCTTCTTGATAAGACTAAAAGTTACCTTGACAAATGATATCAAACAGGAAATCAGTAATATTTTAAAATATCACCTAATTCAGGTTAAGCAGGTAAATGGTATCACTAGCCTTCATACCTCAAATGTGACTGAAACTAGGATACATTACATAAAACAACGATTGAAACAAAAGATATTTATTTCGTTTCAGTAAGAAGGCTTTTTGAAAAGGAATCAGTAATCAATGGAAGTATGCTTAGTCCTCATTGTAGTAGTTAGATTTTATTAACCTGTAATATGGCCAATAGTTTAAGTGGCTATACAATTCGTACACTATTCTTTGACGTAAAGTGATTGAGAGTAATCGGTAGAAATCTCTGGACTAAGATTTTCTGTTAATCCAGTGGTAGTATTCAACGGTTCACGTTCAAATCCCAAAGGGACAATCATCTCCCTCAACAGTTCAGGTAGATATTGACGAAAAGCATCGGACTGTACGTAATTCAAGTTACTGATTCTCTCTAAACATCTAGTGTCAAAACATATAGATGTGAACCCAAGATAAATAGGTCTCTAGCGACTAGTATGATACATTTAGTTGAGAGTCAGTAAGTAACCTTTTCAATCCTATGTCGATCATCGAATGGGATCGATGTAATCTAAATTGTGGCATAGCTTCACATCAGAATTTCAAGATCATTGATCAAAACTAGTTGCCAGATAGCACACAATTATCATTGCGATTAAGAGTTGTGTAAACTATCGATTTACCACTTAGCTGCCATCACATATTCGCACCGATTGGATTAGCATTGATCCACTGTAGGATAGTGCGCGGTTTTGAATACATACACGTATCCTGGTCCCCTTGATAGAAGTAGGTTATTCTTGACAAGTATTCTCCGTCTATTTACTCTTCAGCTCCACAACGCGAGAGTAATGCTTCAATATCACCGTAAAGTTGTACATCAGTAGTTCACCTATGGTCTGCAACATGATGGTCAATGTAAGCACTAATGTAACTTCAATAATCTCAACTACCGTGAACAATGCATTGAATTCCAGTTTGCAATAAGTCAAGACTACATAACTTAACAAGTGATGATACAAGATATATACAACTTTGTAAATTCACTATTGTTGAACTCAATTAAACAAAAGATGATCGATAGGAAATGTAAACTTGATTATTAAAATTCGTTTTTAATTGTCGCTTTTACAAAAGCAGACTATGACACTCATCAGTTTATATTTTCTTGTCTAAATTTTTCCCCTAAACAGGATCATCACATCATGAAGATATTCATTTTAAACTATGTCGAAGATACTTTTTTTATCTACCAATCTGTTGTTGTTTTAATACGTGACTTACTAATTGTATATCAATGTGTGGTTTGAAGCTATTTGTTCCAAATACATATTCATATAATCATAATTTGATATTATTTGTCCCTATGTGATAATTGATTTCTAGGTGAAGAGAAATTTATGAGCATTTGCTTACAATACACGATCAAAATAGTCGCTACCAGTAAAAGAAAGTTAACAAAATATACCTCCACGCAGATTGTATGAATAATATCATACTTAGGCTTGTTACTCCTCGTAGAGGAGCATAGGCCGATCACCAGCATTCTCCATCTAATCCTGTCCTGGGCAACCCTTTCTAGCTGTTGTTCATCCTTTTCATATCTGCTTCTATTTCCCGAAGTAATGTGTTTTTTTTTGGCCTTCCTCTTTTCCGCTTCCCTTCTGCTTCCAGGTACGTGAAAGATTCCATATCTTCCAGAGTTTCGCCATTAATTGTGATTGAGTTTGTGTTCTCCGTGTTGTCGCATTATATTACGATATTTTGCAATACTTGGATGGTTTGTGTATTGTTAACCTTAGTAGTTTGAGTGATGTATTCCCATATCAGTTAGCATTATAAGATATTGTTTAGATCTAATATTAACATGAAGTCATGTAAGGCATACATAACTTGAAATTGTGATTTCTATGGAAACATAACAATGTGATCAAAGTAATGACATATTGCATACTGAGGAGCTGCTCATTACTTTCTACTTTACGGCTGAAAAATGTGATCTTTAAAGACGAAGAACATTCGTATGTTACCAGTTTGATCATCAATCTTTTCGAAATTGATTGATGTAGCAGTGAATCTTAATTGACTGAAATGGTTAGGATACAGCCTACCTCGATTTTCAATTATGGCTTTAGTGGGAGTGAGTTGGAAGAGAACTATGAGTGGTTGGACCAAAATGTGTCATTAGGTTAATAACAGTTGAACTGAGCGTTGTAGGTAGGTGAAGACTACTTGGTTAGAGTCTGTGCGATTATCATGACGGAAGTTTGCAGACGTTGGATGACATGACTAATAATGGTGTAAATAAATCCGCTCTTCGTCTTATTTCAATTTAAAGATTATATCATAATTTTTATCCCATGAATTCATTCTTTCTATTTCAATCATATTTTCTGATGCCTAATCTTTCCTATCACTATTGAAAGTATTACTACTCCTACTCTTCCGACATGGCTTGATAGTTTCATCTACCTGTGCTGATGTGGTATTGTAGGGAACGAAAACACAAGTGGGGGCAATCGAATGTATTTGAACACTAAATTAGAGAATATCTCACTAAAATCTGAAAACCATACAGTAAATACATCATTTGCGAAATATCAATCAATTGTCTCAAATTTGGCTGTTCCCTTCGCAAATATCAGTCAATCGTTTTACACATCATTGTTCCTGCATTTTCATACAAATTACTTTCCGTTCCCGTTCTTTCCTTTTCGATCTTCTACTGAAATACATTCTATTCCTGAATACCGTTATATATTACTTATGTAGATATAAGTAGCTCACCACAGCATGGCATAATAAACCTTTACGTAAATATTTGACGAAATCTTAAATATGTAAACAACAGTGATGTGTTTTGTTTATAAAAGATAAATAGGACAGGATTCACAGCCTCTTTCTAACCATTTTCTGTTTTTATTCAAGTACTAAATCTTGGTCTCTTCAAAAAAAGCCCAATCAAAACCTAAAACAAATGATTTTACACGAATTTATGGTAAATCAATTACTAATCAAAAGGTGGATATAGAGGATCCACTTAAGGAAGTTGGAAAACCCTCATTCCAAACCAGTGGTACACATGGGCCCCAAGATCCTGAAACAACAAATGGTGTATGAACTACTGGTCGGTCAACGGCTACCATGGGATTGTATCTCCTGTCGTTGCTCCACTTCTTTGTGGATTAGACCTTTAAGTCAAAAACACCTGGTGTGGCCCCTTAGGAGAACCGCCTGCTTCGGTTTGAGCACCCGGGCAGTATCCCAGCCCTCACACAAATCGAATGATTTGTAAGGCGCATATGTATTCGGTGCCCATTTGTACAAATATTTGTGTTCAAATAAATATAATAGATACATAATCGAAAAGATTACGATCATCATGTTTTCTTGGTGGAATGGACATACTATGAAGACGATAAAACAAAATTAACTAGGTACCTGATTAATCTGCGTTTGAGGAAATAATGACAAATTAAAATCAAACAAATGAATGAGAATTTTATTGAAAACAGGGAATTCTCAATCAGTCAGCCAACTACAACGTACGACCAGAAACATATATGCATCGGTCCAATTTGCCAACCTTAATAGCATAACAAAATGAACAACACATTCATAGAAGTAGTTACTTCAGTGGTTGTAATATATAAAAGAAAGATTGTGTATAAGGACATAGTACAGGAAGAAAGAATTAGTTCGTAGAAAGAAAGATATGAAGCGATTTTAATCTCATAGTTTAAAGGGGGACAAAGAGTGTATACACCTACACCATTGTGATCGATTCTGAGCCATGTCACACAGAGTCTCCAACCATTGATTATGATAGTCACACGGACCCCAAACAAATAGTCTGCATCTAATAACATGGCTCAGACTAGAAGTTAGTGACTTCAAGCAATGATGCCACGTTTTGGTTTGACCGACCCTAACTTTCTTCCAACTATGCCCAACACCAGTTAGCATTTCACGTCGTGGTAATCAGTGTTCAGGCATATGTAACACGTGGCCCAACCATCTGAGTTGATGAAGATTCACAACCTCATCAACTGATTTATCATCATCACATTTTAATTGAACATATTAATACATTGAAAAAAAAACACCCACCCACCCCCAGTGATAAAAGTACGTTCTGTTTTGTATTTTCATTATCATTAACTTATTGATTAAAATATTGACTGAATTGTGAAAATAAAATCAAAACAGAACGATTAGTTACTAATTGAACCAGAAAAAAAAGAATAAATAAGAAAATAATTATGTACATTAAATAATAAGTCCATTAAAAGAAAACTCTGTTTCATACAAGTTTACCTGAACTTATAATCTTTCTATACAGATAAATTAGTCATTATTCAACTGATCATTATATAACAAACTCATAATCAACAGGATCTTTTGAGAAATTCAACTGAGATATTGATGTAAGATCATGTTGTTGTTGTTGACTGAGATTATGATGATCAGATAATGTGAGAGATGATTGTGGTGAATTTAAATAATTTATATTACCGGTAATTAAATTAGATGTATTAGTAGGAGACTGACAATTTGATGATACAATTTCTGTCTTTTCTCCGGTTTGTAATAATAAACATCTAGAAGAGGATGATCCTATAGATGACGATGATGATGGAGGCATAGTTGAATGACCAATTAAATATCCAACAGAAAAATTAGAACATTGATCTGTAACATCTTGAATTTCATCATGATCATTTAATTGAACAGAAGGATAACAATTATTTTCTATATTATGCATGATATTCGGTGTATTACTTAAAGTATTATAACTATTCTTGTATGATAAATTGATATTACTAATAGATGTATTGTGATGATAGAATTGTCCTAAGAAATTAGCACAATCATTGAAATTGTTTTCATACAACAGAGACGATGATGATGATGGCGTTGATGTCGATATAGATGATGATGGTGATAACAAAGAGCTGGGAGAGAGAACTCCAGTAAGACTTGTTACCGGATTTGATATTATCTGATCATGACGAGATTGTGGAAAATTTAGCAATTCAAATGGTTGTTGATGTTGTTGTCGATCAAGATGAATTGATGAAGGAGACAAATTGTTAGGATCTGGTGATGGAAATTTCGGAGAATAATGAGGATAATCTAAAAATTCTGTTGAATGATTATTATTGTTATCATTTGTTGGATTCCATGAGAGCATTACGCTAGTATCCAGTAAATCTGTCGTTATTTGATGGGCTTTGTTGTTATTGCTGATAGTTAGATTGTTAGTAGAAACATGATTGTCTGACAAACCAGTATAGTCATTTTCCTCTTCTTCCGCATCTTCCCCATCATCGTCATCAACATCATCATCATCATCGCCACCATGGTTACTACCATCGTAAATGAAACTATCATGTGTTTTGGACATAAGTGGAAACACATGTTGAATCTGATGATATCGCTGGTCATAATATTCCACTGGATAGGCATCACCATCATCACCAGTGAAAGGGACTGATGTTGCATTATGGTTACTAGTATGATTATTGTTATGAATATTATTAGCTGTATTAATTGTGGAGCAATGTGAATTGATACCAGCTTGAAATGGACGATTTTCTTGTTTATTCAACATTGATGTTTCACAGTCAACAGGACGCCATATCGATGTCGACTGATTGATTGGTGCAAATGACGATGAAGACGAGTTAGGACAAGATGAGGAAGACAAGGAAGATGAAGTTGGTACAGAAACCGAAGAAGAATGTGTGGTTGTTAAAGTTGACGAACGGTGTGTGTCATAGAAAATACAATTACCACTGGCCAATGACAACTGTGGAGATTGAGAACCAATTTTCAATACTGTCCCATTTATCATATTATCTACCATATCTGTTTGAAGCGAATTTAAAATATCAACAGAGGAGATTGACTGCGGTGTATCTTCGATAATATTCACACCACTAACAACATCATCATTATGGTTAACATTCAGGTCAGTGACATCTGGACCATGACTAAGATTATCACTGATTTGAGTAGGATTACTGTTGTCATTATTATTACTACTGAAATTACTATTATTATCATTACTAGTGGTAGTAGTAGTAGTAGAAGTGGTGGTAGTTATGGCAACTGTATTTGTGGTATCATTAGCGTGACTGTATAAAACACCGTTTTCAATCGTTTCAGTAGCTGTAATTAAATAACATAGACTAGGTTCTAGTTGACGAGATATTATTGTAGACCAAGAATTAGTATCACTGTTATTTGTGATCACATCACAGTTTACACTGGTATTATGACTAATCGATGATGTGGTTATCGCAGAAAATGAATTAGTAGTCAGCTGAATCGGTAATAATAAATTCGACTGTAAAGTTATTGTGGTTCCAGCTACTTTCGGCGATGATGACAACGTCGGAGAAGTTAGTGTGCCATTGGACGACGATGATAAAGAAGAAGAAACAACTAAGGAAGTTGGAAACGCTGTAGCTTGTTCATAAACAGGATCACGAACTGCTATCATCATTTTGTGTTGAAGATTATCATGGCTGTCACTAAGTACATCGGTGGGTTCAAAAAACGCATGACTATTTGCATCCAAATCACTAAAATTCAACATAAATACAGTAGAATTATTTTCAAGATTAACTGCTTGATATCCAGAGGCATTAGTTGGAATAATAGAACATTCTGTTGTCATAATGACTTGATCTTGTGTTGGCAATATTTTTGGTATGGTTGATGGTAATGATGATGATGACGTGTCAGAACATGAAGTTGAAATAGTCGGACTGATTAAAATACTTTTATCGATATTATCAGAAATATTGATTATTTTGGAAGATCTCGAATCCTGATCAGGAATAATGTTCATCAAAGTTTGATGATTTGACGATAGGTCAGATCCAGGTAAATGTGGCTAAAAATGTATTTTAAATCCATATATATACGATTAATAAACCCCCTTCTCAATGTTAATTAAAACAATAAATTATGCATGTAAAAAACCGATTTGAAGTGAATAAAACAAATAACGACACTCCAGTTCGCTAGCAATCAAGATAGAACTTCAAAGAATCTCTCCAATTCGAAAACTTGCCTTGATATGACTGAGGAGGAAGCAACAAAATACAAATTCATTTTAAATTGATATCGTGAATGGATTAATGTTAGACGACCATTGGAAACCTGGAAGCACTGGATGGCCGTTTTGTCCTACTACGGGACTCAGTAATGTCGAGTCTAACATTGACCCATTTACGATATCAAGTTAAACTCAAGAATCTCCACAACTCTATGATGATAAATTCATTTCAGTCTGTAAATATTATCGTTCTTGCTTAGTTGAAATAAAGGAGTGGAAGCATCTCGATGTCAACCTTGAATTCATGCTACTGAATAGTCTGTGAATGAACGTTTGACTCTACTGTTAAAACCAATCAGTGCAAACCACTCATGTACCTTGATATTGTAATTTCCAATTGGCTACAAATGCATTTAAAAAATGGTACTTCAATTATTCACAAGCACAGGCCATTTGTTATTCTCTTGTTACAGTCTCACAAGTCTGGTAGGAACAATTGTGCTTTTCTGTACAATAAGATGCATACGACCTCATTACCACCATTTCAGTACATTTAATTATATTAAAAAAAGAGCAGCATCTATGTCCTATATTATCCTCTTGTTTCATGCACTGAGTCAAGTTGATATTTATTTATTATTTATTTTAACACATAGATATTGGTACAAGGAGGCACCAAATACATATGCGCCACACAGATCTCATTGGATATGTGTGAGGGCTGTGATATTGTCCGGGTGCCCAGACCGAAGCAGGTGGTTTTCTTAGGGGGCCACACCCTGAGCCTTCGATCTGAAGATCTGATCCACAAGGCAGTGGAGCATCGTAAGGAGATGCAGTCACATGGTAGACGGTGACCAACGATTGGTTCATACGCCATTTGTTCCCGCAGGATACTGGAGCACATGTGCACCATTGGTTTGGGATCCGGTTAATGCGCCGGACATTCGCTTTTCATCCTCTCATTTTTGAAAACAACACCCCCGCCACGAGAAGACAGTGAGTAGGACTTCCCTGGCAGAGGCTATATACGCGTGGCCATGTGAGAGCATTTCGAGAGGGAGAGCGGACTCTCCCCACTCTCGGCTGTACCAGGGCATTTGGGGGTTGATACATTATGATCGTAGAAAAGCAGATTTTCAATTAATCATGTATGATTCAAAGAGTAATGTCAAAGTCATTACTTCCTAAGGGTAAAATATTTCATTTTATGTTCACGCAGATACATGGACAACTATCAATACTTATAAGAATTGCGTTCATTTGTGACTGACTTTGAGATGAATTTCACGAAGTTATAGTAGAAAAACGTGACTAATGAGGTTCAAACACGTCGAAGATTACCAACGGTAATGAATGTTGCTCGTGCAACATATTAGATTGACCATCAGATGAAAATTCAGTGGTCTGAAAGTTAGACGATGTTTATGAAACAATGCAGAGTCTGAATTTAATCGCTAGCTCTAGCTATGGTTATTCGCTACTCGAGTTTGAAAGAAAAGTGAAATAGCTATTTGATTTTTCCTAATTCTCAACAGCTGCCTAATAAACTAAATTAACTCGACCACCTGGGAATTCGGTATGAGCCATACTTCAAGTGTGAGGGTTAGTGATACTACCCAGTTGCCCAAAATGAAGTGGAATTGAGGTACGAAATTAGAATCCAGCAACCAAAAGTTGAACCACTTAAAAACTAAATCACATCTCCAACTACTTAAAGTCAATTCGTGATGTCAATTACAGAAAGAATAAAACACTAATGAACATATTTTAAAAACTAATTAACATACCGTAATGATTTTAACAGGAATAACTTGTTCAACTGTTTGTTGACATGATGATATATGATTTTGATTTAAATGACTAGTTTCATGATTATTTATATTACTTAATACTTTGCTACATGGTTGACGACTTTTAGTCCTTTTTTGTTTATTATTCACTGAACTGCTACGTTGACTTGTTGATAATTTCTTATTGGAATCTATCATAAGTAGTTCATTGTGGTTATTGACTGATTGGTAATGTTGTTGTTTATGGGTTCGTAAGAGATGACGATTTAAATTTGACAAACGTGTAAATGATGTTGAACAAATTGGACATAAATGATAAACACGTTTCTCATGTGTTTTTTTATGTCGCCATAGTGTGCCCGCAGTCTTTTGAAAATGAAGAAAAAATAAAATATGATAAATACTAAACGAAATATACTACTAATAATTATTACACTGATCAACTATTGAATAGTGACCAATATAATGCATATATAGTCCTATCGAACAATTCCCAAAATGAACACTCGTTTAAATGACTCAAATGTTGATCTTTTCTAGAATTCAGAACCTGGAATAATTAAAGCAGTGTCATCATCGGTATGCTGATGGAACATTCAAGACCATACCACACATATGCTTACGCACAACTACATAGTTCATGATATGAAATTCAATATGATAATACCATTGGTTTACATCATAATGAACGAAAACATTACAAACTCATCTATGTTCACCTTTAGCTCAATAATTAAAATTACATCCCACTACAAATGAATCAACTGTCATGATTGATTACAAACATTCATCCTTATAAGTATCTCGAAAAGTAAACCGAATTGTAATACATTAAGGTTAGATATTCCATCTGAGCCAATGTATATGGTAGAGACTAAATCAATCAGTAAACCTTCAGCAAAAGATAAAACTTTTGTTGTGCAGGCCGATTAGTTGGTAACATCAACTATTGTACTGGTTGGAGATATCATAATTGCATTTGAAAATCTAATGAAAAGACGGAGATCTTCAGCTCAGATGGATGCTACTGGAGTTGCTGATATCTCTGAGCTTTGGTTATCGCTTTGGATACCATCAACGCTTGTTTTTTGGTTATTCCATGAGTGGACACCTCCATAACTTACACACATACGAACACAAACTATCAGCTAAACGACGTGATATGATATTTATTATATCGATGCATGTAAACAACTACGGACATGAATTCTACCGGGAGGATTTTGAAATTCTGGATCGTGGTAATTCGATAAATGTCGGAAAGAATGACATTTAGATCAAGCAATAACCAAATCAAAGATCAATGGAAGGAAATAATCAAGTTGAACACAACTGAAAACAATTAAACCTACGAGGATGAATAATAACAATCAAGGTAACGGGAACAAACTGTGTAAAAACTTGCCAAAATTCCGTCTAATAATTATCATCAGATCATAATATGTGAATCAGATTACTGAACAATCAACTTTTTCTTATTAATCATAAGGGATTTTAAGCACAATCACGAAAGTGAGTACCAACTTGGATTGGTGTAATTTTACTTTCCATTGTCTAGTCGCTCTTGTATAACCCTCATCTTTTACAGAGCAATAATTAAAACTCTATAATTATATGGTTTAATTCATAGAAGGCAACATGACAAAAAATAATCTTCATTATCAGATACATGTTATTGTTTAGTATTATTAGTAGTGACAGTACTACCATTAGTAATATGAAATATGTATATCTATGTTAAAATCTTTTTTTTTTCAAATAAAATAATAATGATTGAATACACCCTTCGTTTTATATCTTATCATTTTAAAATCAGTGATATAAACTACGATGTTTCCATGGATAAATAAATGTATTTTAATAAAAAGACCCTACGACATAAACACACACACACACAAAACAAACACCTTAACGATATATATATATATATATATATATATATATATATATATACTAATTAAATGGTGCGAAAAATAAGTAGTGATGATAATCGAGATGATAATGACGACGATGATATTACCGTGTCAATCACAAGTCGTTTTTTTTTTAAAGAGGGGTGAAGAGAGACTGATAAATTTTATTTTGCATTTTTCTATTGCGATTTCTATTTGCTTGTTAATAGATTGGAAATATAATATAATGTTAAAACAACAACCTCTATACAGTACAATCACAAACAATTATACTCTTTTCATTCGAAATCTTCATTTCCTTCACCACCACCTCCTCATCAATTTAATCTCTAGTGTACACATGGTAAAGTATACAGACGGACACAGAAAACAATTATTTGTTATTATTAAACAATATATACGTTAAAAGTGATGAAGAAATCGAATTTTTTTTTTGATTGACACTATATAACAATTTTATTTATGTAATTGGAAAGTACAATTATTTATACTCAGAAAACTGGATATATTTTGATTATTGGAGATTATTACATATTGATAATGATATATTGGGACAAGTAGTATGAAAGTATAGTTTATTGGACTACCACATGAAAGATTATCGTCTACAATCTTATTGTGTAATTAGTAGATGCTTAGACTGTTGTATCTTTATATTTTCCTATTTATAAGCTTTCGCTTAACCTATAAATATTTAAAGTAATTAGTCTCTTTAATAAATTTCGATAATGTAATAAGAAGACAAAGATTATCAGAACTATGTGATGATATATTAGCGCAATACATTTTGAAAAATCTGATCACACATATACTTGTTAAGAGCATTTATATATAAAAATAAAAGGTCAACTAGACTGAAAATGGGGTAAGAGGAGATACAGATAATAATAAGAGTAATAATAATAATAATGTGAACACAATTCGAAACCCAATCACTCTGGATAATAAGTCAATATTACCAGGGTAGGTTTAAGGTAAGAACAAACTGTTTTTGAATACACCAAGGGGGTTTGAATTTTCGTATGGATAAGGCTTCAATAAACCTTAGTATACGCCCTTTTACACTTTTATACAACATCACAAAAGCCGATTTCAATTATATGTTTAGCAATGGATGATGGATGTTTATCCTCTGCTCTCATTGGGTCACTTGATTGTAAAGTTCTGGTAATATTCGTCTTCTTATTACACTATAAATCTTTGTTCTTGGGTTCATGATCTTAATCAAAAACTTAATAATCTCCACAACCCCTATACTGATAATTATCAAGTGTGCTCACTAGTGACTAGCTTCGTGAGGGATGGATGATGGTCGCGTAATTTCGTGGATTGGTTGAGGTTAAACATTAACACCATTGGATGCCGGCTCAGTGGTCTAATAGGTTAAGCGTTCGCGCACGAGACTGAAAGCCTTGGGTTCGAATTCCGCAAGCGGGATCGTGGATGCGCACTGCTGAGGAGCCCCGCAATAGGACAGAACGGCGGTCAAGTGCTTCCAGGTTTTCAATGATAATCCTAATCAAAAAAATTATTTGTTTGTTCTAGATTTGTCATTATTCCCCCATAACTCAGGGTTTTTTTATATCTAGATAGCGTGTATATATTTTTTTAGAGTGTATTGCGGTGAGGTCAGAAATTTTAACTATATAACTGTATAAGTTTTAAATTATGAATAAATAAAGCACAAAGGATAGCTTGTCTCCTTTCTACCTTCGTCTTCTGATTATAAACCAATAAGTGTTAAGATCTTGATTATCGTTCATTAATCAGTATGTCATTTGGCAAATAGGCCACCCGTTGTACTGGGGATATATGACAAGTAAACCATAATCCAACTAATGGGAAAACAATTGCTACCACAACAACGGTTAGATAAATCTTCAACCAACATACAGTCCCAATACCTTTTCCCTTTCATCACTGTTGCATCAGGTAAACTAATGAAATAACTATAATTTACAATAGGCTGAGGAGTAAACTAAGCAAACATTGAAAACATGTTTTATAAAAGAAAAGATGGATTGTAGCAATGAATTCCAGAATGTGTGTCTCGTAATATTTACGACTTGCCAGCAAAATGTGTCTACATTTAAATGTTGATATTTACACTGAGATTCGAATCCAGTACTTTACGCATCAAACGCTCAAACAGTTAGGGGTGGCATCAGTACTTGAAGTCACAAACTTCTAGTCTGAGCCATGTTATTAGATGCAGACTATTTGTTTAGGGTCCGTGTGACTATCATAATCAATGGTTGGAGACTCTGTGTGACATGGCTCAGAATCGATCACAATGGTGTAGGTGTATACATTCTTTGTCCCCATTTAAACTATGAGATTAAAATCGCTTCATATCTTTCTTTCTACGAACTAATTCTTTCTTCCTGTACTATGTCCTTATACACAATCTTTCTTTTATATATTACCACCACTATGAATCCGGTGTTTATCTTGTTGTGCTAACGAGGTATGGCAACTTGAACCGATGCATATATGTGCCGGGTCCTACGTTATAGCTTAATGACTGAGTCCACAAAGCCTCTAACTTGTTACACATATATGATGTTTATTATTATTATTATCATTATTATTATTATTAATTATTAATTATATCAAAACAGTCCACTCATGATGTAAATATAACAAATATAGCTAATAGAAATTCAGTCCTAAATAACGATATATAATAAATTGAACAATTAAACTGAATATCTCTCACCTTGAATCTTTGATCACATTCAGTACAAGCGAAATTTCGTTCATTCGAATGTTTAAATGCTCTATGATCATCTAATTCATGTTTAATTGTAAAACGTGCATTACATATCTACACAGTAATCCGAAAATACAACACATAAAAAAGGATAACAGAAAACTATTTTACATATTGATTACTTTACAGAATTGATGGACATAAGGTTAATCCTAGTCAATGTAGAGCTTGGTACGAGAAAAAAGAATATAACACTAGAATACTACTTAATTGACATTTTGAGTAAGCACAATGAGATTTACAAAATAAATAAGGCCTGTAAGGGGTCAAGATAATAAGAAAACATAAACATTGAAGAATATGATTTGTCATACATTAGATATTTGAATCTTCGCATTGACGTTAAGGACTGCAATTGATCAGTCTGTTATTGGTTTATGTGCATACTGTGCATATCACCTCGATATTGCTTTAAGTCACAAGCATTCTAAGCAGAGATAATGGATATTGGGTAGCAGTAAAATTCAGGAGATACGTTTCGTGATATTTGGGACTCGTCAGTTAAATATACCTGTATTCCAGAGTTGATGATCGCTCGGACATTCGAACCCAGTACTGTTCATTTCAGGTACCATCGCGTTATCCACTTAGGTAATGAGTTCAGATAACCACAGCTTGTACAATCGAATGAAGTTTAATTCATTTTTGTATTGGTTGTTGGAATCTTTCTACTGATGTTTAAAACTGTTTATAAAGCTTGTTACTTAAGGCGATACCAAAGTTATATATATATAATGTATGCGTGCCAATAAGAGACTGATCAACAGCAGTTCTAAACGTCAGTAGAAAGATTCAAACAACCAATACAAAGTGAATGAAACTTCACCCGATTGTACAAGCTGTGGTTATCTGAACTCATTACCTAAGTGGATAACGCGATGTTACCTGAAATGAACAGTACTGGGTTCGAGTGTCCGAGTGAACATAAACTCTGGGATGCAGGTACTTTCAATGTTATAGATTTTACTGCCAACCTCCATCAATCTCATAATTGAAGAATATGCTTCAAAAAGAAGGAATAAAAATTTATGAAGTGAAGGCATATTGAAATTCAAGATCTTTCTAGAGAAAGACAAATCTAGTTGTGATTAATTTCACGCCATTTTATGTAACATCTCCAACAACTGATCGCGATAATCTTCAATAGTGACATCATAATTATTGTATTTATCCGAAAATGATTCTTTAAAATTAATATTCAACATTAGATGTACGATAATCAATGTATCTTGAAAGCTTCTTAAAAAATCTAGAAACTAATTCATCGACATATCTTTCCGTAAACTGATTAGTTAAGTTTGAAATTCACTAAAAATTTTTAATATACGTGATCCGGAAATATATAGAGTCTTAAAATTACTCTTAACCTTTTATCAATTATTCGGAAGTAAAGGGCTCTTTCTCTTAATCGAAGTTAAACTACCAAAGAGTTCAAATTACCACCTAGGAAGTCAGCATCAGTTCACCGAATGTATTAAAACATACTTATTTGATATTTCAATATCAGTATAGAAAATTAAAGAGGAATTTTGCTTTCTTGTAGGAACTAAAGGCGTAAATGGATGTTTACTTATTATGAATAGTTAAGAGGGAAATAATGGGAAAAATTATTCTGACAAATTTCCAAATAAATAATCCAACTCATTGACCAAGAACAAGTTTGTGTAACCAGTTCTAATCCAAACTTTTTTGGTGCATATACTAATTTAAAGATAAACAATACTACTACTTATTGTCTGAAATTATGTTCGATGAATAGATAATTGAAACCTACAACCAAACATCTAAAATTCAAGCTTTTTTAGCCATAAATTCATCAGATCTATGATATTATCAATTTAAAACTGGATAATTTGCACTTCATAGGAATAAACAGATTGATCATTAAGTATCTACAATGAACAGCCACTAAAACAATGATAATAATCATTTTCATTAAAATAAGAAAACAATATAAAAAGTAAACGCAATACACCCATTAAGACATTAAATAAGAAAGATTAGTTCAGTGAAAGGAGTTCTGTTTTCAGCGAATTCATTTTCAAAGCTGTACAATTGCAAATATACATATACTTATTTTACAAGATGACAATAGCAATACTGATAATAAACTTCTGTTAGACATGGTGACAGTGAGGTTAAACAAACAAAGGTATTAAAGGCAAAGATGGATAGAGGCTAGCTGTAAAATCCAGGACGCACGTTTCGTTTTATTTGGGACTCGTCAGCTGGATGCGCTTGCATCTGAGTTGATGTTTACTCCAGGACCGTCCGCTCTAAACGCCACCGCGTTATCCACTCAGCTACTGAATCCTGACAGCCACTTGCTTGCGTAATGGGGTGAATTTAAATTCGTTTGATTGTTAATGGCTTATGTTTTCATAAAAAGATAGATAAGGAAATAATCATTGGGAAAGAACGGCTCAGAATGATAAAATAAAATCTTGAAATAAAGATTAAATGTAATCAGAATGATTGTAGAATCAGAAATAAACCGGTTGGGGATAGGAGATTTAAGGGGAAGAAGGAAGGTGAAGCAGATGGCTGTGAAGGAAGAAGAGTATGAAGAGAGAGAAAAGAAATTATAAAATATTAAGACCATGGTAGAAGAAGAGGTTGTACCAGTCTCTTTTGCACACACAATTCTGGTTTTTCCAGATATATGGCTAATAATTCGTGCTATAACTTGTGGTTTAGTGCCTTTGGTTCTTTATTTTTCACCTCGTTACCAATTGTTAGAACTTTTGGGTTTGTGCCCAATGTATGATGTGATGATACCGTCAATTTAAGAACAGTGAATTATCGATCGGACCAGCGACGCATAAAACCTGTACGAGCAATTTAGAGTCCTTATCGGTCCTGCTTCCCGCCTAGCCCAGCCTGTTAAGTCCAGAACACCAATCTCAGCCTCTACGATATGAACCATTCATTTCAAACATACTAGGTTTATATACCAACGAGACAGACCACACCGTACCATAAAACAGGAAACGACATTTGCACAAGAATTAGCCAAAAGTGTCTGTGAATGTGGGAGATAGTAATTGATAGACTGGGCATAATTCAAGAATGGTAAATCGTATGATCATAGTTCATAAGTCAAAATAAAGCTTATGATAAGAGGAACATGAATATGAATAGTTTGTTACTTAACAATTATACGATAAAAATACACGTATAGTATTGCTCCATATAAATGGATTCCAAAAGTTACCATTCAGCATTCTCATCGGGATATAACACTTCAGCAATGCAAAGAAGATGCAATATAATTGTCTTTGGAAGACTTCTACTTTTACTTCACAAAGTGTTCGATTATTGAGCTTCTTATTGAGATGTTTCCTCCACTTTTTAGCCATGAACAGGTAAATTTTTGATAAAATCTTTTGATGAATACTTATTAAATTTTCCTTATTTTATAGAAAATTTTTTAACACATTTGTTAATTTTACCTTACTAATACCTTGTCTAACAGAAGTTAATTATCAGTATTATTATCATCCTGAAACAATTGTAAAGCTTTGAAAATGAATTCGCGCGAAAAGAGAACTCTTGAAATAGTGGAGAAGATTTGTAGACTCAGGTAGATGATTTTAATAGAGTTTTGTTCACTGAGCTAAATGGTTTAGTTGTGGAGCTTTCATCAATCTTCTGAACAATATCATCAGTAGAAACTTCTACCTGAAACTCCACGATTAAATTATCCAGCTCAGAGAACAAAACTCTATTAAAAAAGAGAATTTTTCACAGAAGTATTCTTTATTATTTCATATATAAAGTAATAAAAATAAAATAATTCTATTATACTTACTTCACAAATAAATTGTTTTACACAAAAATGTCTTGCTAAATGTTCTTCATATGCTAAACGTTCACCAGTACGAAATTCACAATAACCACAAAAATAACGATATTGATGTAAATGTACAATTGTTTGATGACGTTTTAAATTATATGCACTTTTAAATGTACAATTACATTCATTACAATAATGTTGTTTATAAAGTAAATTTGATTTAGAAATTAATTGTTCATCTATTTCATTTGTTTGTGAAGGTTCATATAACTGTAATCAGAAAATAATCAATAAATAATTAATCAATATATATATATATATATATATATATATATATATATATATATATATATATATATATATATTAATAATATGAATTATTCATAAAACAAGGTAGAAACTAAGAATAAATCCTCAGTCAGCAACAATGTAGAACTTTGTACGTACGTATATCAGTTCGAGTTGCCATATCACATTACCACAGAGATGCAGTTGTGGACTCAAATCTTATAGTGATAGAGGTAGTAAAAATATAAGCAATAATCGGAAAGATTAAGGTTTGAAGATGTTATTCAACGAGTACAATTCAGTGAAATCAATTTGAAAAGAGGAAAAAAAAGGGACATGAAGAATTCAGAAGATTAGAATTTGGGAGAACACAAAGATTGGATGCACCTGCGATATTGTAAACGATTTTGAGCCATGTCATTCAACGAATGAATACTGTATGATACTAATTAAATTTGTATGCTCAATTCTTTTTTTGAACTAGATGAGCCTAATCGGTTGTAGTAGTAGTAGTCGTGCAGTGAACAAGAACACTAAAGGGGACAATCGATTGTACTTGACAACAAATTACAGTACTTGTTAACAAAATCTAAAAACCATATATTAAATGCCCAATTTGCAAAATGTCCATCAATTGTCTCAAAATGACTCAGAGTTCATTGTTCTTCTCTTCTGCCAGACATTCTGTTCACGAATAACATCATATACCACTTATGTCTACATAAGTAGCACACATCACAGTAGTAGTGCGGTGTATGCTATTTATGTCAACAGATATAACTAGCACGTAACACCAATCAGAAGTGAAAAATATGGCAGCAGAAAGATAAGATCGAAACGAAAAACAATAGAAAGGAGAATAAGAATTTTAAACTTTGAAAATCATAAGAATGTAAAGAACAGTTAATGTAATATATGTGAAAATTATATTTGAAATAATCTCAGCGATTGAAATCTAAATGATTCTAACGTTTCGTCCAGCTAACTTGTCTGGACTTCTTCAGAGTAGAAGTCCAGACAAGTTATATATATATATATATATATATATATATATATTAGATGATTTTATCCAGAATGACATTGAAGGTTTCCTGGTTAAGTCATTCAAAACAAATGACAAAAAATGTAGTAACAGGAAGCAAACTTTGTTTCAGTGACTATTTATTTGCACCAAGTGCTATACTACTGACTATTACTAAGTAGTTTGAGCCATAATGCATTTATGTGGAAGTTGCATTTCTTCTTCCTTTCTTCATATAACGTTTTTCATGCCATCTTTTGGACATTATTCCTGTCTTAAAGTGAGCCTATCGCTTAATTGACTTTTTGTATCATCCAAGGTTGACGCAGGCATGTTCTATTTCAAGATTTATAGTACATTCCGTATCTCTATAAAAGCACTCAATTATTTAAACAGTCCATCTTTATTCATTATAATAATGTAATTTATAAATAATCACTATGTAATCCATTTTCTAAATTAGTTTTAGATGGCTTTTTCCCTTTATTCTCAGTACTTTTTTTCAGTTGAACTCGATTATTGATTTCGAAGCGTTGGATAGTACTTATACTCAAGTCCTGGTTAAAAAACCGTGGTATGTGAAGACAAAACGGTCGAAAATGAAACGATGATGAACGAATGACATTTAAAGGTGGTTTCATTTTGTCGCAAATTGACAGGGTTTGATATATGGATCAAATGATTTTGATTTAGTGATTTAACAGTACGACATTTAGTATCAAATCTAAATCCTTTAGGTAAGATTTCATACAGTATTGTCAGTGAGTACTGCTGACGAGTTCAAATTAAGCGATAAATAAATATTCCGAAATTCTGTTGACGATATCAGTTTTTGGAAGAATACAAAATTTAAACGAAAAAACTGAAGATTCACCATGCCAAAATGGTAAAATAATTCACTTCACAGTTTTAAATAATCCAGTTTCAATAAGAAGGCTTTAGATTATCTTTTTTTATATTTTATTAATTTGTAGTTTTGACGCTCAAATAAATTAACATTAATCTAAATGGTCTTAATTGTCACTTTAATCTTAACTATCTTCTGATTGGTTACTTCTTACCCTAGTTTCCTATTTTGCTATATATTTTGAAAATCATTGCTGTTATGAACAGATTAGTTGTATCGTATACTTGATTTATACAAGGAATAGTTAAACATCTCTTATTAAAAACCACCTTTTGTTCTCGTTTGTTGCGAAATTGGGGAAATCACAGTTGAACTGCTATTAATTCATACCAGATACGGTTATTCGGTAAGAACCGAAAAAGAGAATTTTGTTCCCCTTTTTGATCAGCTAGAAGTAGGATACTTTAAAACTTACTAGTTACAAGAATTGGATAGTAGCATTATCAGCTCCCTCTTTCACTAAAGAATGTAGATCCAAGACAACGACACTAACATCTAGTTGAAAAAAATCAGTTAACTTAATCAAATTTGTATTTTAACTTACTAAGCCTGTAATTTCATTCTCATTATTATGATTATTATTCAGAGTATTTGTAATAATATCATTGGTCTGTTTCTTAATCCGTCTTGCATTTTGAGTTAACTGGTTTGCTGACTGAATAGCAGTATCCATAGTTGTACTATTATTATTATCACTAACAGTTTTACGTTTCCTTAATCTTGTGACCAATCCTGAAGAAGGAAGGTTACTGGATTCATTTGGTATACTTGACAATACAAAGGTGGAAGTGACCGTCATCGGCGTCGTCGTCGTAGTAGTAGTGTTAGTGACAGTAGTAATCTTCAAAGATGGACTCATATTCTCACTACTATGTAGTGATGATATTTTAGACGTTGCACAATCTGATGTATGATTAATTCTACTATTACTGTCACCATTATTATTACTACTGCTACTACTACGACTGCGGCTAATATTCCGTTGCTTATTGAATAAAATTTCATTTGGTCTCGGTGATAAGCCTCCGAGACATTCTGGGATATGACCGTGTTGAAATAAATAGTGTGCCTGTAAAAACCAAAAAAATAAAACAGATAGGAAGAATGTTGACGCAACGAAGTAAAAAAATACGGGTACGATATGAATAGTTTAGAAGCGGTAATGTCTCAGAGGCTGCGATACTGGATGATACGGACTTGAGTCTCACGAGAAGCATAAGACTGCAGATAAGCTATTCTGACCATTGAGAATTAGTATGTAATCTAGGTTCAGGTTCTCTATCTACTGCCTTCGAACACCGAAAATTAATGCAAGTTCAAGGTTTATGCTTTTCCTCTAATCTTTTACCGCAGTGATGAATAATCGAAGCTCATATGATGTATTGGTTAAACTTTATCAATCTCCACGAGAGACAGTAGAAGAGACAGAGCAGGTAAGAATTTCTACATTGCTGACTAATGAGAAGGTGCGTGAAACCGATACAAGACCACAACAACCACCTCCCCGACCCATTCATTATTCTTGTTGATTCTCTTCACTGTCTAGATTGTCAAGCACTTGACCTGAAATCAACAAGTAAAAATTTCAAACCTCATTGGCATATATTTTGGTTTAACCAGATATTCGCACAGAGTCAGTAGCCCCAAACACATAAACAGGGCGGCACAAAATTGAATATATAAATTCGGTACTTGGTAAAGGAGTCACATTTGTACGCTGTTAATATGTTCTTCATTATTAAGTTTAATGATATAAGAGTTTGATTAAGTCTAGTTCTAATTAGATGGATAATTGTTGTTCTAACTAAAGAAATGGGTGCATATTTATGTTGATAGGAAGACCTCAAATTATCCAGTTTTTTTTCAAAAAAAACATGTTATAAGACTGTAGTTCTGACGAACAAATGTAATCTTTAGTTCAGATTACAACAATTGAACTTTGATATTAACTGATTAGTTAATTGTGCTCTTAGTTTGCCATATTTGTTAATTTTAAAATCACAATTCCTACAATATAAACGAAGTTGTTGTAATACAATTTTGATTTCTTCTCGAAATAGAAAACTTCCTTTTCAAGACCTGTCTTGTATAATCGTAATACGATGTTGGAGGATAATACTCATAGGCAGAAGAGAATATGGTTCATTCAGACGATCTGTTTATAGAAAGCCGATATAGGCAGGTCAATATCTTAGCTTCTATAGTTATTGTTCAGTTTGATACAAACGAAGTCCTCCAAAGGGACTATTCAATAGGGTAGACCATAAAAATGTTATTGCTTATTGCAGATGAGGTGACGCTACCAGAGAAAAATTTATAAACCGATATTCAGATCTACTACGCTTCTGGTATTTAAATGTCTGTCGATATCATCTACTATTTAGAGGTGAATTAAATACCCTTAGCAATAATTTAACCCCTCCCCCTTGCATAGTCAGGAACAGTTTGTACTTATGCTAACCCTACCTTGGTAATATTGCTTCATTGTTCAGAGTGGCGTGACTCATGCTGCTTTTTACCTGTATTATCTTGGTTTTATCTTAGGTTTCAATTTGTCTAGTTTGACTTTTCATTTTTCAGATATAAAAATGTCTTGACAAGTGAATGTGCGATCACACTGTTCGAAATGTATTGGTTTCACATACCAAATAGTTCTGAGATAAACTTCGTCTTCTTACTGCACATTATCTAAATTTCTAATAATAACCATTTTAAATTTTTAAACTGGGTGCGTACTGAATCGAACTGGACGTCACAAAATTTGTATCCTGAATGGCTGAATCCCAAGAATACCCTGAAAAACATAAATACTAACATTTGTTTCTCATTTAATATTATTGGCTGGAGAGAGAAATAAATCTCTGACATTCTCTTGTAATCCTAATAGTTTGGGGGCGCGATCAAAAGATATTTAAGACATAAAATCGATTAAGTTCACTCTTGAGTTAAGATTTCATTTGAGTACCTAGAGCCGTGTGCCATAATACCTTTAGCTAAGAATGAAAACAACTATCGATACTGTCAGTTTACTGCATTTGATTTGAATGAACAAGCTATTTGCTATACAGTGCACTACTAATAAATAATGCTAATGTGCCATATGTAGGCTGTGGCGAAGACAAGGAGTTGATCTAAATTGGTTATCTAAATGTATCCGTATTAACTGACTGATAGTTGCTCAGTTAGCAGAACTGTACCAGAACCTTAACTGGTAAATGATGACTAATTATTACGAATTATTAATTATAAAATGTTGGGTCACTTAGACTACTGTTTCCAAATTGTACCTTGATCGATAGAATTCAGTAATCGGAACTGAGGACTAGACAAGTACAATAATGGTCAATAGTAATCAGTCAATGTACATTTAAGGATACTGAAGTTAATTCTATTTTAACAGTGTCGAGTCACCTAGACTAATGGCTACATTGCAACTTTGTCGATAGCATTCTATCTGCACTAAAAAGGACTTGACACATACGACATTGATCACCACCCAGTGATCAATCAATTGTGATAATTGGATTTGTATTTACAATACAATAGTCCATGAAACATCATTAATCAATTATTTTTAAGTTCTATTATTTGAGTTCGGTACCTCATTCCTTATGACCGTGATATCACTGGACAAATTTAAAGGCAAAGATAACGACTTTTTCCACGAAAAACACGTTTGTGTTCAAGTAAATGAAAGCGCTACTTACTCGCAGTCTTGATGATAATCGAAAAACTGCTGAACAATGATTACAAATAAATCGTCGAATTTTAATTGCATTATTAGTAAACGATGTCGAAACACTGACTTTCTGACGACCATTAATTGTCATTTTGCGTTTCAATTTTAATTTTAAACGTTTAGTGTTTTTATGACGATGTAACCATGAACTTCGTCTGTTATGATAAAGTTGAATTTCGCTTTCGGAAATATAGCTACCAATCGATGGAGAAGGAGGAACATCACACGACAGAGCTGTTGTTGTACTTAAATGTTCATCAACCTCATCAGTTACATGTTTTTCAGTAGAATCACATTCAAAAGCAACTGCTTTTAAACGGCGAGCACGCTTTAGTAAAAAAAGAAGACGGTAACAAAAACAGATATTAAATGGGCAAAATCATTTTGTTTGGGAGAGATTTTAAAAAGTGTATTTTAAATACAACAGATGCGAATTGACTAAGATGTTTTGTGGAAAGATTTCTATAGCTTTAAAATGATTTTCAACTGTTGTACAAAACATATGCCAACTGAGCGACTAAAGCTGTTAAAACATAAATACACAAAATAACAGTCAGATTGATTACTCTGAGTTAGTTTTACCTTAGTAACCTGTTTTTATTTAGCTAGTAAGCGATTATTCGTTCAAATAAATGCACCGATTGAGATATCAAGTTCGCTAGTTTTTATTATCCACACGTTTGTGACCTGTGACTCAACCAACAAATTAGATCATCTCGATATCCTGAAACAGCACTGGGCCAACGCGGAAACAATAAAATAAGAAACGACGATTTAGATGAAAAACTGAAACTCTGAATATTTCAAGGAATGTGTAGGACAATTGAAAAAAGGACGAAACAAGCATTCGCGAGGAATCGAAAGTATTTTAGGGAACTTAAGATTGATGCACCTATTATGTTAGAATCTGAGGTTATGTGCTTAGTGAACAGACTGCATAGCTTTTAAAAGAAGTGGTCGTGGACTGTAGAATCAATCAAGTGGTGAGATAACTTATCGAGTCCATTGTCGCACGGAGGTTGAAAATACAGATATAATGACACTTTGTGGGAGAAAAACCTACTGAAAATTATAAATTTGACTTGAATAAATAAAATGTCTTATCCAGTGATTACTCAAAAGATTCTTTGTTGCACATTGTATTAACTCAGAATAACCGAATGGAAACCTACATTACTTCAATTCATACAATGAAATAGAAATGTAAAGAGAACCATTAGACTTTCTAAATCGATTTAACACGGTTCTTTGAAATAAAATGTCAAGTATGAAATAATGTGTGGTTTATCGAAACAGAGGATCTGTCGACTTGTAACACACTTGGAAAAGATCATTGATGGTGATGTAATGATAACAACGACATAGTCGGTCGTTGTGTTAGACAGAATTATAGATATTGCCTACATTACATTTTCTAATCATTTACGTGATCCCAATGAAGATAAATATTGAGTGTATAATTACTCACCAACAGGAATCAGCAAATGACGAGATCGAAGCTTTATGTTCCATGATGAACAAATTACTGAATTACTGTATTGTAGCTTGTTAACTAAATACAAGTTTATATTCTAAACTTAAAGTTGAAACTACTTCTATGAAGACTGGTGATATCACCCAGATATTCAAACAGAAGTAAGAGTAGTATAGTTCGGATCTGAGACTTAATGGCTAAAACCGGTGTTCAATCACTCGTATAATATTTATGATGAGGCTGACAAGAAAACAAAAAAGAAACAGTTGAGTCATCATCAGGCATGAACCTTTCCATTCAGAAAATCGGATTAGTTTATGACCAACAAGTATGGTTCAAAGTATAGTGCACACAAACCCGCATTTGAAAATAAATGAATTATCTAGTAATTCCCAAGTTTTCGGTTTATATTGGGTTGTTGACGGGAATCAAGGCTGTAACCAGAGTAGATCAGTAAGGTTTCTGATTATTATGCTGGTTGATGTGAATTTGATAATCACGAAGTGCATAATTTACCTTAAGATTTCGCGCACAACCTATTAGTAAGTACGCATTGGAATGAAATCAAAATCAAACAGGGCCTTCTTTTAATTACTTCTAACCTCCAAACATTAATAAATAATGAACACAACGTCTAGCCACTGAGACCAGTATACCCACACTACAACTTGATCAACAAAATCCAATCAACACCAAGGATTAGGAGAAAAATAATTATATTTATTTGAACACAGATATTGGTACAAGGGGGCACCAGACACATATGCGCCACACAAATCTCATTTGATTTGTGTGAGTGCTGTGATACTGCCTGGGTGCCCAAACCGAAGCAGGTGGTTTTCTTAGCGAGCCACACCCAGAACCTTAGACCTAAGGGTCTGATCCACAAGGCAGTGGAGCAATGTTAGGAGATTCAGTCGCATGGTAGCTGGTGACCAACGATTGGTTCATACGTCATTTATTCCTTCAGGATTCTGGAGCTCATGTACACCATTGGTTTGGATTGAGGGTTTTCCAACTACCCTAGGTGGACTCACCATGTCCACCAACCAGATTGAAGCATCGGACATTCGCTTCTCATCCTCTCAATTTCGAAAACAACACCCCCGCCACGAGAAGGCAGTGAGTAGGACTTCCCTGGCAAAGGCTATATACGCGTGGCCATGTGAGAGCATTTCGAGAGGGAAAGCGGACTCTCCCTACTCTCGGCCGTATCAGGGCATTTGGGAGTGTACCAGTGTCTTCATCATACGTTTGGTGAATGTGTTGTGGTGAAGAATATTTTTAAATAAATAAATATTCACAAATTCACTTTCAAATTATTAGATAAAAGAAAACATTTTCAAGAAGTTAACTTATCAGGCACAAACCCACAAACAACCAGGAAAAAAAATAAGTGAAAAAGAAAATCATTGAATAGTTGAAAAATATCTCCTTTAAACTACAAAATTCATGTTTTGCAAAGTTGACGGATATATACAGAAGGATTAAACAGGAAAAAAGACTGCTTACTTTATTTTTTAATGTTAGATTATGTTTAACCCGTTGAGCGACCAATAGACTAGTTAAGAATGTCGATGGACTACAGTTATTCGGTGACTTTTTATTTTGTTCACTATCACTATTATTAATATTATCATTATTACCGTTACTGATATCCAACGAGGTAAGTGTCGTCTCTTTTTCTCCCACATCTTTTGTGTTAGTGATAGTAGAGATAATGACATCAACAGCAGTACCGTTGGTAGTAGTAGTAGTAGTACTGGTGATAGGATTATCTTCTGTCGTTGTTATTACTGACATAGTTTTTGTGTGGTTTATATTATCTTCGGTTGACAAATCAGTGGCTAGGCTACCTTTGATAAATTTTGTTGAGTTATGATTATTATCGAAAACGGCTCTTCTCTTACGTTCACGTCTTTTCCGTCCTTCTTGATGATAAGTTAGTGCATAGAAATGTTCGGTTAAATTACGTACTACACTACGGACAGCTACATCGGATGAGGGATGTTCATCTGATGGTGAATTGCACTATAAAGTGAAGATACACAATTCAGAGGAGTAATGAGGAATACAAGAAAAATGCCCAAAATAAGAAAGCTAAATAATGTGTAATAGATAAACAAAGTAGTGTTGGATATGCTAACTTTCACTGATCAGTAATCTAACTCATTTACCAGGGGTATGGGTTTAATTTTCTTAGCGTTAGGGTACAGATATTATTAGTCGACCATGCCTAAATTGAAATAAATGGGTACGATGTTTTGAACCTGGGTTGGAATACGTTCTACTTATTAATTTATTTGAACACATAAACATTGGTACAAGGGGTCACCAAATACATATGCACCACACATGATATGTGAGAGGGCTGTGATACTGCCCGGATGTCCAAACCGAAACAGGTGGTTTTCTTAGGGGGTCACGCTTGGAACCTTTGATCTGAAGGTCTAATCCATAAGACAATGGTAGTCGGTGATCAACAATTTGTTCATACACCTTTTGTTCTTGGAGCCTATGCGAACTATTTGATTTAGAATTAGGGTTTTCCAACTACCCTAGGTGGACCCTCATATATCCACCAACACGGTTAAAGCGTTGGACATCCTCTTTTTGTCCTCTCAATTTTAAAAACAACACCCCGTTAGCGAGACAATGAGTAGGATTTCCTTGGTAGTGGTTGTATACACGTGGCCATGCGAGAGCATTTCGAAGAGAGCGGACTCTCCCCACCCCCGATCGTACCACGGCATTCATTATAAGCCACTACTTACCCTAATACACAAGGTTTTTTGGAATAAAAGTAGACTAAAAACCGTTTAAGGGAGGACTGAGCAAGATAAAATATCAGTTCATGAGCTCAATCACTGAGTCATGTTACGACTTAAATGGTCGCAGATGGTCAATAGTAGACCTGCATCTAAAATTCATGTTAGTTGGTGTTTGTCAGCAAGGTAACTGATGAAATTTAATCAACGACTAATTTGCTAAAAAATTTAAAGGACCTTTCGATAGTAAAGGAACTTAATGGGTTTCTGCGTTGTTCTGTCAAACTTGCTGAGATGAATGCGGATGTTATCTTCCTTGATGGATTGTATTAACAAGCGCGAATATTCAAAATGCTACTGGAAAATTATTCGAAGAAACCATATTTATCCAAACTCCAAATCTCTTAAACTTCATTCACCAAATATCATCGATTCTATTCGTTCATGTATCTCGCTATTAGAATTCAGCGTTTCTCGAACATTTCTCTCCTATTGGTCGAAAGCGAAACCTAATAACACTGGTTACGCGAATATGAAGAATTTGCAGTCCCGAGGTCATAGATAACGAACTGAGCCTCTTGAAGTATTCTTCGAGATTTATTGGCAAGAATATAAAACTTAAACCTTCTAAAACACAAATAAACTCGGTCAAAAGGAAAACACTATGCATGAACACCGATTTTAAAGGCGATAGAGTTACAAATGTCCTAAAGAGGAGAATTTCCGATAAATTATCTCATCTGACCAACTCTATGTGCATTTACTAATTCATCTGCTCATGCGAAGCCAGGTATATAGGTTCTTAGATACGTACTTCATCCCAAAAAAATTCAAGAACATTACCCGATGTGGCTGAAAAGAGGCGGGAACGGTCCGATAATCGAACACCTAGTGAACACAGGTCACTTAATCAAGACAGACTCTGCGTTCAAAGTCATCTTACAAGGTAAGCCAAAGGCTATCAAATGCAGTTAGATTGCATCTTCTTAACATTGCCAAAGCAAAGGCCATACATCTAGGAAAACCAGAATTGTTTGTCCAAAAGAAATTGGTAAAACCTCTTCTTTTACCGTGGTCTTAATGTTTCATAATTTCTTTTCTTCTTCATATTTTTTCCTTTACAGTCATCCGCTTCTCGTTCCATCCTTTCCATAGATCTTTTACCTCCAACTGGTTTATTTCTGTTTCTATAGTTCTCCTGAATATATTTGATCTCAATTTCAACATTTTTTGAGACAAAATCCACTTATTATTTTCATTAAGAAATACAATATACACATTAAAACAAAACCCACCTTTAATGACTGTTTCTTTTTACGAGTTGATGTCAATAATGACGACGGAGTATGAGTTGATGTTGTTGTTGTTGTGCAAGAAGTGGGAGGTCCATAACCGCCATCTCTCCCTGTGGTAGAATGTGAAGATGATTTATGTCTAAGGAGTGCAACAACAAAAAAGTAACACATAACTAGTAAATAAATTAAAAATAGACCAAATTAAATTATCACTGACGAATACATCTATTAGTATAGTTGTGGAGATTGTTGAATGTCATTGTGATAGCAGACCGATTTAAATTAGACAAACGTTAAAAACCTGGAAGTTCTGGACAATTATTTTGTTCACTGTAACATCCACGTTGATAATTATCATATGCTCGCTAGTGACTAGCTTAGAAAGGATATTTCCGGATTTCTGTAGACTACTTTTATCCTACTGCTAACGATGGAGTCATGACATTCAAGCTCCCCAACTACTGATCATCATTACTGAACAAACCCTAACCAAGTAGTATAAACCTGAAGTAGTTTTTTGACCGACAGTTATAATTTAATCATGAGATTTGGTGTTGATGTTAATTTTACAGGTGTGTAATTATGAGTAAAGAATTTAAACACTATGCTACAGGAGAATTATCGAATTAAATATCACTGGACCTAGTTTGGTTTGAATAGCAAGGTAATGTTTAGATCACAACAGAAAACAACTAACGTGGAATAATAAACAAGGAACAGCTATTTATGACTTTGTCACTGAAATGTATATTTGTTGATCTTTTAGTCTCTATTTCTGTGGAATATGCTCATAGATGTGAATAAAGACTTTTCTTTCTGTTCTATCAATGTATGCGCCTCGACATATAAATGTAAATTGGTAAGCATAATTGGACGTAGATGAACAAGGGAATTTGTCCAGTCTCATCTGTCTCAACGAGCTACTATTTCAGCGGCTGCTTCATCACCTATGAAGCTAAGTCTTGAAAGAAGTAGCTTTTCGACCGTATCGAACTCCATTCCTCTCATCTGGTTTTCCTATACTGACTGACAAGCCATGATCTCGCAGACGCCTATCAATTATGACTAGCTCTTCTCCAATCTTTTTTTAATACAATTTCTATACGTGATTAAATAGTGCTCTAAGCAAAGCTTATCTATAAAGCTCCAAAAGTGATCCGAGGACGAACAAAAGGGAATTATAACTGATGGCATTCTTTATCTTCCTCGAAAGCTCGAATTCATTGTTCATACTTTCATTTTTTCGAACTGAAATCATCTGCATGAACTATATGTCTCATGTTTAGCTTTGCACTGAATTTCATATTGATTCCTGTCACTCAAATCATGTTAACCTCCCTTTTCGCTGTGGTAATGAGAGATTTGGAAACTGGAACTAATAAGAATTATCCAAAATCTCAAGTTAACTACAAATGACTGATGAATATCTTCTCCATATTATCAATTAATTATTTCTTTTTAAAGTTACAATAACTCACTTTTCAAATGCATCATATGTTGTGAACGTAACATTAGATTTATAGCATAATCCACAACGTCTACTTAAAAATACACCATCCATGGGAAATTGTTTCTTTTCTAGATCAATTTTCGAAAATTTATGAAAGCTTTTCAATGATTTATTCATATATACTGTACAAGGTAAATATAGTCGACCCCAATCAAAGCATTCGTGTGCTAGAAGAACAGCATGATTTTTGAATATACCTTGACATCGCCAGCATACAGGTTCTACATTATTTGTTACGTGATCATTATATAGATGACATTCTAAATTTGGCCAATTTTCAAATGTAACTCGACATAATGGACAATTTAAATAGGTTTCATAATTGGATCCCTCATAATTTCTGATAGAATTTGATGTGTGATTATTGTCGGTCACATTACTGTCTAATGGGATAGGATTTTGTTCTTGAAGCTGAAAAGTAGATAATGAAGAAAAAACTGAAATAATTGAAATGTAACTTTTATTTACTTTATCTTTGTTGAATAGTAACTCAAAAGTTAAAGTATTCAAGTTTCGACTACTTTTGTTTGAACAGTCGGGTAGTATTGCTAGCGCTTACACATATTGTAGCTGAAAGTCGAATTCACAAAATGAATACCATATAAATACAATATTCAGTGAATGTGATACATCAACATTATTCACCAAATAAGGCTTTCCAATAAAAACACCAAACTTAGAAATAACTCAGCGAATTCATGAAATGTTTTATTTGCAAATATGTATTTGGGAAAACATGTATTTTAAAATGTGTTAAGCTTTTCAGTGATAGTGGCTGTAAAGACCGTAAGAATAGTCAATGAGCAGAGAGATCATCCACTTCCTGTGTTGACGAAAACATCAAACGCGTGCGACTTCATGTGGTTTTGTATTGGCAATCTATTATCCGGGTGAATGCTGATGGATCGAAATCTAGGAAACCATTTATGTATGCGATTCTAGCAAAAGATTTGAGTTCGAGGAAATTGCGGAACAATGAAACAGCTGAAAAACATGGCTTCTGAGGACTTTCGCAGATAGTCTAAACAATGAAAAAGAGTAGTACTAAACAGTGGAACTCAGGGCGTGGGCTTTGTTTTGCTTTGAGACTTGTCAGTCGGGTGTAAACCTGATTGCTCCTCAGTGTTTGTGTTCACATTGAGACTCGAATACAGCACCTTTAGTTATCCATATATGTCCTGGATTCTACTACTGGATACTATTTGACTTTAACAAAAAAAATTTTGAATCAATGGTAGTATTGAGGTGATCCGCTGAGGATCAACATATACAGTCAGTCAGTAACAACATGGAACTTCGTACGTACGTACATCAGTTCGAGTTGCCATATCACATTGGCACAGAGATGCAGTCATCGATTCAAATCACGTAGTGGTAGAGGTAGTGAAAGTATAAGTAGTAATAGGGAACATTAGGGTTCGATGATGTTATTTAAGGAGTATAATCCAGTGGAATAAATGTCGAAAGAAAATAAAGGACATGAAGAATTCAGAAGATTAGAATTCGAAAGAACACAAAGAGTGGATGCACCTGCGCCATTGCAAACGATTTTGAGCCATGTCATTCAAGATCTCTAACCATCGGTTGCTATCGTCTCGCGGACCCTAACCAGGTAGTCTACATCTACCAACATGGCTCAGTCCACTTGTCAGTGACTTCATTGATTTGTGCCATGTTTTTTTTTGGCCGCCCCTAGCTTTCTTCCAACCTACTCCTACACCATAAAACATCGCACGTCGGGGAAGTCGGTGGTCGGGCATACGTAACATATGTCCCAGCCATCTCAACTGATTAAGTTTCACTACTTCATTAATTGATTTGCCATCCTTATCTAGTACCTGTTTCCTAACAACCTCATTACTTACTCGGTGGCCCCAGGATATATGACCAATGTTTCGAAGACATCTATGGTCGAATACTAGTAACCAACAAACATCCTCTGCTCTTACCGACCATGTTTCGCTGAGCAGTAAACACGCATCAGCATATACTAAGAGACTAATCAATAACTCTTAACAGCAACAACGAGAAAGTAAAAGCCCTTAGAAATATTGAAGTAAATAAACAACTTTATTGTCAGAAACAGGGAGCATCTTTAATGGGGCATAATTATTATGCAACTCCAGTAACAACTTACTCCAACGTACAAGGTTGGCTGGTATATTTATTTATTTAAACATATAAATATTTGTACAAGGGGACGCCGAGTACATATGCGCCACACAAGTTTGAGGGCCGATAGCCATATACTGTATTAGCCGTAATCAAGTAGAGGGCATAACATAAATTAGCTTTGGTTGCACGTTTGAGTATGTGTTGCTGGTTTAGCCCACAAATGCCCTGGTAAGGCCGAGGGTGGGGAGAGTCAACTCTCCCTCTCGAAATGGACACGGAGAGTCCACCTAGGAGAGTCGGAACACCCTCATTCCAAACCAATGGTCACCGGCTACCATGGGACTTCGTCTCCTGACATTGCTCCACTGTCTCGTGGATCAGACCTTAATGTCTAAGGTTTCGGGTGTGGCTCGCTAAGAAAACCACCTGTTTCGGCTTGGGCACCCAGGCAGTGTCATAGCTTACACATAAATCAAGTGACTTGTGTGGCACATATGTATTCGTTGCCACTTTGTACCAATATTTATATGTTAAAATAAATAAATTACTAAGTCACTGCTTCACGTCGCCGAGAGTACATTTGTGGAAATGAATTTAACAAGTTTTTTTTATGTCCTTACAGTTTTCGTAGTTTCAGCAATCTATCGAAATGTGTAAGTTTATTTATTTTAACACATAGATATTGGTACAAGGAGCCACCAAATACATATGCGCCACAGATCTCATTTGATATGTGTGAGGGCTGTGATACTGCCTAGGTGCCCAAACCGAAGCAGGTAATATGTAAGTAGCAGCACGTATATCATTTATGAAAATATAATTAGGGTTATTTATAAACATGGTTACATAATGATTAACACTAGACCACATTATTCACACGTACCGTGCTTATTCTCATTAACGTTATGTACGGAAATTTCTTTATCACAAAACTGCTTGTTTTAAAAGTGTACTAACAAATACTAACTACATGCTAGATGCTTGCTAGAAGTGGGAGGGTTACTGACATTTCCGGGTTACCCGCGTCGTGGGAGGAAGTTTCTTATTGATGGAACAGAAAAGGAATCTGGGTTAGTACTTGTCTTACTAAACTGGAAAACTGACTGAAGAGCACACAGAGAAGCTGCTTTCCGATAAATTAGCGCCGTGTTTTTCAAATTTTGCAGCTGGTATAGGCAATCCGTAAGACAAAGTGAAAAGTACTATTTTGAGGACTGACATGTTTTATCTACTCCCATTTTAAAAAAGTCTTTTCCGTCCTTCTTGATGATAAGTTAGTGCATAGAAATGTTCGGTTAAATTACGTACTACACTACGGACAGCTACATCGGATGAGGGATGTTCATCTGATGGTGAATTGCACTATAAAGTGAAGATACACAATTCAGAGGAGTAATGAGGAATACAAGAAAAATGCCCAAAATAAGAAAGCTAAATAATGTGTAATAGATAAACAAAGTAGTGTTGGATATGCTAACTTTCACTGATCAGTAATCTAACTCATTTACCAGGGGTATGGGTTTAATTTTCTTAGCGTTAGGGTACAGATATTATTAGTCGACCATGCCTAAATTGAAATAAATGGGTACGATGTTTTGAACCTGGGTTGGAATACGTTCTACTTATTAATTTATTTGAACACATAAACATTGGTACAAGGGGTCACCAAATACATATGCACCACACATGATATGTGAGAGGGCTGTGATACTGCCCGGATGTCCAAACCGAAACAGGTGGTTTTCTTAGGGGGTCACGCTTGGAACCTTTGATCTGAAGGTATAGGCAATCCGTAAGACAAAGTGAAAAGTACTATTTTGAGGACTGACATGTTTTATCTACTCCCATTTTAAAAAAGCCACATTGCAGGAAGTGCTTTTTATCCAGAGGAAACACCTGACCGTTACCACACCCAAGTGCAATCGGCAGTAAGAATTCGTTATCGCCCTCATTTGTTTTCTTTACTCTTACTACTCTCTAATTATTTATTTTAACACATAGGTATAGGTACAGGGAGGCACCAAGTACATATGCGCCACACGAATCTCAATTAATTTGTGTGAGGGCTGTGATACTGCTCGGGTGCCCAAACCGAAGCAGGTGGTTTTTTTAGGAGGCCACACCCCGAGCCTTCGACCTGAACTTCTGACCCACAAGGCAGTGGAGCATCGTAAGGAGATGCAGTCCCATGGTAGCCGGTGACCAACGATTGGTTCATACGCCATTTATTCCTTCAGGATACTGGAGCCCATGTGCACCATTGATTTGGGGTCCGGTCATTCGCTTTTCGTCCTCTCATTTTTGTAAATAACACCCCCGCCACGAGAAGGCAGTGAGTAGGACTTCCCTGGCAGAGGCTATATACGCATGGCCATGTGAGAGCATTTCGAGAGGGAGAGCGGACTCTCCCCACTCTCGGCCGTACCAGGGCATTCGGGGGCACTCTCTAATTGACCTGTATGACATGAAAGAACTGCAGAAGAAAGTATTCCAAACAATTTAATTCAATTGGCTTGTCACAATGATAAGCACACCTAGCCACCTCAACAAAATGGCTACGATTGAGTATACACGCTCAAGAAGTCTTGTTACTTGTCACAGGACAGATGGAGCTTATACTCTAGTGTACAAACTTATCCATGTGTTTAACTAAACATAAACTGAACATACAATGGCCATACTACATATATTCACAAAAACGTACCGTTTCATGAAAATTTGATTCCCTATTCAAATTTGAGCAGTTAAATGTTGGAGCATTTGTAGCCATGGATAAACATTCGTTCACATAGATTGCCTCTAAAATGGAAGTTATCATTAATAATATTAGGAACGCTTGACAAACCTGAGCAATTATGACCCGTTAGGCTAGTAGTATTGTGTTGCATTGTTAGTGCAGAAAAATCATTCACCTCATCGACGAATGTCGCTACTGATTCATGAGTTGCTTCAAATGATAGCTGAAGACTGTCTACATTGATATTTGTTAAGTCATATAATTCTGAAGATTTTACATTCGCATACGCTGAGGAGTTACTAGTTAAACTAACATTAGTAGTAGTTGCAGTAGTAGTGATAACAGAAGTAGTATTATCCACATTTCCACTACTACAACACGGATAGCTGTTACTGCTGATATTGCTACTCTGGTATATATCACTTTTTTCATTATTTTCTTGTAATTGTGATAAATTCTTTTTTATAAACGTTATTAAATTATCCCGTTCATTTGGTTGAATACTTTTTAAATTGTCAAAAAGTAACATTAATTGACTTCTAATAGTTGCTGACTCCATGTTTCATTTTTCTGTCTAAGAAATTGAAATTTACTTTCTTAGATCAGTGAATCTGAAATGCAAATGGTAGTAGATAATCAGGTAAGGTGTGATTTCCCCAAATGAGAAATTTTAGTAAGACCTGGAATACCTTTCTAAAGCAATTGTAGTTTTTTACTTATCAAGTACATAGTGTGGTCTCAGCTGTTCCAACGTTAAAAAACTACAATTTTTACTTCAATTTTCAGTTAAAATGTCGTAAAAGCAATAGCTTTTGTAAGTGAGATAAGAGAATTTTCAGATGATTAAACAGTTCACTCATGTAACAATAAATATTTTTTGATGTTTAGTTATTATCCTTTCACGGCTTTTAAGATGATCTTTTTATGTTCGCATTAAAGAATAAAATCAAATGGCCCGAACTAAACACAGTTTTCATAGGCTCACATGCCTTTGCTCAGGTCAAAGATGTAATGTAAAGTGAAAACTGAAATAACTGGTACAACAGTGTGAACGCTGAACTCACATTAGTTGAATATGCATAATTGCAAGTAATAACAACCACTGTCGTGCAAAAAGCTCTGCTTCACAGTCACTTTTGATAACTAAGAATGCAGAGATGCTAAACAATTTAAAAGTAGCAGACAACCACAAAAAAATACCAAAACATTGAATGCCTTACAGCAATATTGACAAATAACCTATCGATCTGAAAAAACCATCATGAGGGAGACAAAACATAACTAATAACACACAAATTGATCAACAGAAAACTTCAATGTCAAATACCAAACATGTAAAGATGGGTCGCTATCATATTTTATATGGTATATGAATATGATTGAAGCATGTTCCGTGCAATATTGTGTTTGGGCACGATGATTGGTCATTTTTTAGCCAATGAACGCTAGAGAACTCTTGGAAAAGATTCTAGAATCTTATTGCGTAGAATTATGAATATACTAACGTTTTTCTTATTGTGATTCCTACTTCTATTCAACTTTGTTTATTTCAAACATAATTACATTTTTGATTAACCGTGTCTCCGATCTGGAGACTTGCTGAGTGAAATAGTGTCCAAAGAATACTAAGTAATAAGAGTAACTGAGTCGTAATAAGAGATTATAACGATGGGGACGTGTAAAGGAAAACACATTCAAGATGGCGATATCATATGACCAGCTCAACCGAATTTCACAGTAACAGCAAGCACAACTTGATGCACAAATGTGGCTCTTTGAAACTCTGACGCAACAGATTAACGTTCATTACTGGAGTTTACACGTTGTTTCAAGTAATATGGCGAGCTGTAGTTTCTGAAGTAAGGGCTCTTCAAACCAACTTCAACGTCCCGGTAGGCAGATCTAAAGTTAATGCCTATAAAGTTGGCTAAGCGCATCTACGAGCACACTGATCGCGCAACTACAAATAACGAGTATCTTTAGCCGTAACCCATAAGAACCAAAGGGTTATCGTGAGACCACACTATACTAACGTGTGGAGCTTAGAACCGCATGGGCGTTGAGGTTAACTTTCACCGGGTCAGAGTAAAATGTGTTCACAACGGTTTATTCAGTCCTAGTGAGTTCTGGAGCAAAAAAAATGAGAGTAAATCGCAAGCTCAACTAAAATGTGACTCAGATTTTCTTGTCAAATGTAGAGAGGACGCCCACGCCATTCCGGAGTTATGCTCCTTACTATACATACATAGCGAAGCTTGAAAATTTAGACCTCTTTATACTATATTACATAGACTAGGTAATTTACTTGTGATGTATAGAATGCTATACTACTTTTTTTCCGTCAGGACAATTCAGAGGATGCAGCACAGGAGTCTTGTCGCCAAGAACGAACAAGATTTCCGTAGAATACAGGGATTCCCACTGAGTAATCAACTCTTGAAACCTACAACCGGAAGTGGTGTTTGTACCTTAACATTAGACACTCAGAAGCCTACTAGAAAAGGAATGACAAGTCTTTGGCCTCCTATCCTGAGAGCCTAAATATGAATGACTATGGAACCTACAATCAGGGTTAAAATGGGCATCCAGCTAGAATAGTAAACATTTAGTGTGAATAATATTACGTAGATTCAAAAATTAAAAGTTCATTTTCTACAATAAGATATATAAGTATATTACAATTAGCTAATGGTATCCAATCGACTGAATGAAATTCTAGTGACCCGGATACGCTCCAAAAACAACACTAATTTTTAATCCATGGAAGCATCGGTTTCAATTTTATGAGTAAGCCAAAACTGAATGAACGAGAATTACAAACCTGTAGATAGAACTCGGACCTGGTTCTTTGAAGTCTTTGATTTTTTAATGAGAACCCTTTCTTTAGGATGTGTTGTTACTTAGTTGCTAAGCCCTTCTGAAATCTATTAGCGTGTAAAACATTGACAACCTAATCTGTTTTGACTTAAAATATGATTATAGGTCAGTTTGTGGCTTTACTAGCCACGCCGTAGCTGAGGGTGCTCAGTCAAGCATCCTCACCGAATCGTCGTTTGGTAATTTGTGCTACCTAACACGCGGAACTAGTCAGCCTAGACCAAGCACATCGCGAATACCTTACGAATATATCTTCAAACCCATTCAATCCCGACTTCTGATTCGCCTGATTTTGGGATTTTTCTATTACAAAGTTGTTATGAACAAAAGCGCTGTCAAACCCTGAATACCCGTGACCCCTTTAATGGTGAGAACGATGGTACCAACTAATCATGTTTTAAGTCAAATCTACAGTTGTGGTAGGCGACTTCTGATTTGTTACCAATTGGACAAAAATTGGCAGCAAATGATTCTTAAATGCTTGAAAACAATAAAGTATACCAGGTATATGGCAAAATGTGAGCTCAATATGATTAGACTTAGTTACAAAAGAAATACTTGTTCGTAAGGTAGGTTATGTCTAAGTACTTGATAAGATTCGATGAGAAGTTAAGTGTTAGGTGAAGCTGGAAGATATTCTGCTCTCCTAACTTTTATTCTAGATAGCAATTATCGGTTTCACAAGTTTATAAACGAGAGGGCAGTAAAGCATGATAGCATAGCTTTTGCCAGCCCGTAATAGAAAACCCACCTCTAGTTTTTAAACCTAACGGATGTCAGTTAACTACGACAACTTTTAAAATGGACACATCCACAACTCATAATACTAGCCTGACCCTTAATATTTAAGTTTGACCTTTTTCTTCTATTTACAAGGGACAATTTGACATGTAGGGGTTAATTACTAGAATCAAACCTATTATTCCACTGTCATCTCGTTTTTTGTTGTTAGTTGTCTTATAAATTGAGAGATTTTCCTAGTTAGCTAACAATCCACCAAAGTTCAATACTCTTACTATAACAACAAACCTGCCGATAGTACCGCAAACCATCATTCGAAGCGCCTTTAGAATTGCTGTTATCCAATATCCTAATTTCGGTTGTTTCAGCTTGATGAAGATAAGGAGTCTGGATAGCCTGTGTTAGTTCTAGAAATAACAGTTCCTCATTCCATTCAATTTTTTGAAGGCGTCAATATATGGAGCCTAAATCATGTACTGATGTGATGAATTCCGTATGTCGATAGTCAGCAGACAGGTAATTTTTTCTAGGCTTGTGGGCTTTTTCAGAATGTCCATTTGTAGCGTCCATGATCGCGTGTTCAAATGCGTCTGTGCTGGCCCAATTGCGCATACTGCAAATGATTGATGCTGTTGTTGTCAACGAACACTTGTGATTCCCTTTTGTTGGTTCCATTGGTTTTTTTTCAACATTATGTGAATACGTGCCAGAAAAGCGGAGAGGAAACGAACCCGTGGTACTACCTAGGTATTGCAGTAACACAAGGGCTGTGGACCAGCTACCAAAGATATCATCAGTCTTACTATGAGTAGGAAGTCGAGTTGGGCGTGATCCTGACTACTTAGTTGGGGACTCAGTTTTGGTGTATAAGTCTAGTTATCCATGTTAATTAGTCTCTACATCATGATTTTGACCAGTCGTCCTTGTAGTTCTTTGTGTCATTAATGTTGGCGACGCAATTATTTTGTATGTTACTCAACAGACTAAAAGGGTCGAATGGGAGACAGGTTATGAAAAAAGTGGATAAAATTTAAGTTTCGAAATAAAAATCATGAGTAAATATAGGCCACACAAGAAAAAGACCTGGAAGACAGTGGAACTTACAACATTGTTTTTTATGGTTCTAGTAAAAACTTCACATGAATCCAGTGCCTTTTTTAAAGTCTTGTGTTTGTAAATGGTGAGCGTGTTTCAGTAAAAGCACACGGGAAGACAGCTGTCAATCGAGACAGCTAGTCCTACCGCACGATTATTCAAACTTCGTCTATGGATTGCAGATCTATTGGTCTTGTAGTCCGATAACAAATGGAGGCGCAGTATGTGTTCCTTGAAGCTGTCAAGTATTCTATTCTCGCAATAGAGATCGGCGAGGTTATCAAGGTTATTTGAGACAATTTCAGGTTTGTTTAGTAGTTGGTTCGACAAATAATTTGAAGTTATATGGCTTTTTTGATCATTAATGTACTTTGTCTTACAGTAATGTGACGCTGTGGCTTCTTGGTGTTAGGTTTTTTCAAGTCCTTCAACGAAATTTTCTTAGCCTCTCGGCCTCAGTACTCCCGATGACATATGATCTCACTCGATCTCTTTGAAGACAGATAGTTTCTTGTCTTTCTTGTACTCTTTTTTATCCTTTTCACGTTTGTGATATTTCCCCACTAGCTGATGGGATTTCAGAGACTAGATGCTGTTGTTTCATCAGATATGTGTTCGATAAGTCATTTTATGCAAGTTTAGGAGGATTCCAAGAGTAGTTGACTACTGGACCATTTATGAGACAAATTTTTTTCTACATTGAGATGGACACAGTAATCCATCTTACAGATGTATTAATAATATAGCTCAGTATTTGTGGCACAATATTATAACACAGTGGTCAACAGACAAATAGATAGACGAGAGATCACATAATGGAACATTTCAGAGGTACACATGAAAACGCAACGAATTCCCAGCGCTTGACAATACCACCCTTAAAAACCTCATTTTATACAATACCCGACCAATCTAAAAGATCAGAATGAAAATATATGAAGATTTGTTCGGACAGCTGTTCATGTTTCAGTGTATGCGGTCCATGCTGACTATTTTTCACAAGATATCCTCAGCACCACGTACTGTGCTGATCTGCTTCGGATGCTTTGTCGTGGACCAACAAAAGGATATGTCTTGCAAAACCAGTAAAGTCAGCATCAAAGTTAAGGGCTGACAAAACCGTTTATTTAATGCTACACACATACAGTGCGTAAAATCAGCCATAAAACTGAGCACCAGATAACTGATAAAGCTAAAGTATAACATTTGCGGTCCCACATTTTGTCGATTTTTGATTTCCAAGATGAGTAAACAGTTATTTTGATTAAACATGTCCGTATTTAACATCATATCCCCTCTTCTAATAAATCATACAAGACTTGGGATTTAGTTTCGAGGTTTATCTAGAACTCTCTGAGCATGGTAAGATCCAGAAAATAGGCCGTAATAAACAAATTATCAAGTTTCAAATTGTACGTTCTTTTGTCCAATTTGACAACTCATGTCAATCAGCCGAATTATTTCCGAATGTATCATGATAATAAGTTGCTTACAGCGTATCAATATATATTATATACTATTAAGGCTCATACTTTTGCATGTATATTTTTCCTTATGGCTATCTCTTGACAGAAAAAGATGTTGTTACACCAAGATTCATTTACTTAAAGCAAAATACAACGGGTGTGTGCTGTTGGCACTATTGAAAGACGAAAATTGTTAAAAGAGAAAAGACTGGCTTTAAATCTTTGAGATTTCATCTCAATGTACTCTAAACGCTACTGACGCCGTTGGAATACAGACGCTCTTAAAGAGAATGAAATAGAATGTAATTAACTATTTCCAGCTGACAAACTAGAACTACTGAACGTAAATGACATAGGAATCAGTTTATTAAATAATTACCGCATGTTCACTTGCTGGGACAACAATACCGGTACGATGTCGACTCTGTCTAAGCAACAATACCAAGAATAAATGTCTTTATATTTCTATGGATATTGTCAATGACACCCTATTTCGATCACGAACTGCATATCTCACACGATATGACCACGAACGAGGTCAAAATGTGGTGATACTGGCTCAAGAAATCAAGATACTGGTACGACAAAAGAAGACAAATAGTCTAATACCTTAGCTACTATAAGAAGCTACTACGTTATTTTGACCTCTCAGCCCGTGCAAATTGTCCAGATGAAAGACCGTAAGTTATTGTTGGCACGTTTATTGCAGCCTGACACTTTACTTGATATGAGACCTGAGAAAAATACAAAATATGTAGAAAAGCTGAATGCATGGGAGCTTGTTCTAAGGAAGTATGAGACTCTCTCTATATATAAATCTTAATCGGTGATATTTTAAATGTAAAATAATCTGTTCTCTAAGCAAACTACTGAAATCAATAGTGCCTTGTGATAATTAAATGTATCTGAATGATTATGATAACTAGGTATCCCCGAAATTTAGACCAAGAAAAACCGGGTGGGCAAAAATGGACATATTGTAGTTAGAATTCAAAATCAGTCAGTCATCAAGTACCAAAGAATCATTAGCTCACACAAACGCCACATTCTTATTTCTCATTTTGATCACACATAATATCTAGTTTTAATCCAATAAGAAATCAGATTATTATGCCAAATAATGAGTTTTCACAGCGTTTCGGAAATTTAAAAGCTACTAGACGATGGTTTAATTTGTTTCTGATGTTTAGATTGATAGGATATATCTGCAAGCTGACAACAACTTGAATAAATTACTCATAGGAGTAACACTTGGTGGAGATTGTTTGATTCCATCGAAACAGTAAACCGATCATTGTTAGATCACCGCTGAAAATGTGGAGGCGCTGAACGGCCGTTTCGTTCCAGTATGAGGCTCCCCATCAGTGCTTTCAGACCATCAATTGTAGTCTGACATTAATCGGTCCATGGTTTCGATGAAATTCAACGAACTCCACAGCCCCAAACCGAATTCCCTATGTGCCCACTACTGACTAGCTTCGAGAGGTAATTCTCGGAGTTCTGGTGAAAAGCCGTGACCAGTGAAGTTAGGTCTTTTCGGGTGTGGGAGAGTTACCAACCGCAGATCAGGGTAGACGGTCGCGTTGATGTCTGCTCAGTGGCATAGAGATTACGCTTTTGCGTGAGACATGAGGATCTGGATCCGAATTACGTACGAGGAACCGTTGATGCGCACTCGTGAGCAGCCCCACACTAGGCCGTTCAGTGCTTCCAGCTTTTGAATGTTGATCTAACAGTGGTTGGCTCATGTTTTCGATGAAAGGATAAATTTCTCAATCTGAGAACCATTTATACAAAATGTTCTCATTTTTAAAAGTCAATTTATATTTGTGAGCAAGTACTAACATGCATGGGCTTCTGCTATCCGATATTTTCATCAGAACTGACATATTCATATCTAGATTCAACGTTACACATTTAAACAGGCGAAACAATAACAACATACTAAGGAAGAAGTGTACATATTCGGATTCATTCCATTGATCGATTGACATTATTAACACTGATGATTTCATAATTAGATATCAGTTTTCTGAAGAAATCGTTTACGTCAGTATCGTAATAGAAAACATTTGGGAATCCGTTTATGCGACCAACCTGATATAGTGTCCGAGATCACACAACCCTTTCATAAATAGTTTATCCATCTCTAGTCTAAACAATTGGTGACTACTTACCACAGATGTATTTCAGTAATATATAGATGAGTGAAAACCTATATTCACCTTAAATTCAGTCATCGGACGGCGTTTAAATACCAATAATAATAGAAATTCATATCCATTGTCCTCAGAAATTTTATGTGGACAGTCTGACAGTTTATAATCCATCTAAAATAAAATAAAATATTTTAAAAATTAAAGGCTTGAATTTTTCTTGTCATGAAAGTATGTCAAGATAGTTTGCACACATATTTCATTGACTGATATTTATGTACATTATAGTACATATATATGTATCTCTGTGTTAGTGTATGCACATGCAAATGATTTACACTCACTTACTATATCTGTCTTTATGTAACAAATGATGTGGTGATTTTGAATGTGCATAAATACTTAGAACATTGAATACTGTCATCATCATTATCATCATCACCGGTAAAATGAATCGTTTAAACAAAAATGAGATTTCTTTGTTTTTTTCATCAATCTCTAAAACTTTTATACCAAGTGAAAATAACTTGAAATCATTGTGATTAAATTGGGTTAGAAATTCATATTGTAAAATATTAGTTGTTTAAATGACTAGATAG